TGTGGTCGGTCGTCCTATATGCAGAAGCAACAAAAAATATATTTGCGTCGGCATGGAGTGGTGGTGGCATTTTAGAAGGCGAGGAGTGGCAGTTGTAGTTGTGGCAGTGAGGAGTGCGACCATTAGTTATGGTCACGAGGAGCGATGACGGTTGTTATTGGGACAAGGAGATCTGGCTGTAGTTGTGAAGACCCACGTTGCGAAGAATGTCATTCATTCATAGAAGAGAACAACCTTCATTTAGGTAGAGATTCAATTTGGAAATTTAGGGTTCGATTCAAACACGAAAATTATTTCCTGTTTTTGTGGCAACAATTCAAACATGTTTGCTAAAAGAGGCTCACAAAGAAATTATGTATCGCATTCCTCTAACTCACATATTGTTAAATGAAAACACTATATACCTGCTCTTGTTCATGTTTCTGGAACTAAACTGAATCAAGGCAGGCATTTCTATTACCGCCTTTATTGGAAGGTAATTGAAGTAGCAGTTGTTACTTTCTGATTGTCATTGGCTGCTATCTTACCATGGTTAGATTACTGTAAAGAAAGATAGCAAGAAATTTGTCGTTTGTTCCTTTGGGTTGATACTCTAATTAATGACAACGAAGGTGCTTGCTCCGATGGGGTTCTTGTAGGGAATGAAGATATTAGGTCGAAGCTTGATTTGATGGAGTTGCAGGCTGGAAGCTTAAAGGAGAGCTTGAGGGTTGCTAAATAAAAAATTGTGCGAAGGAAGAAGGCCAAAATATCGTTATATGTTGATTTAGTTAGCATTAGGGAAGAGAATGCCAGGTTGGTTGGTGAATTAAGGTTGGCCAATGCACGTTTTTTGTGTGTTTTGCTTGTTTTAGTAGGCTTAGTTTTTGGGTTAGGCATTGTAGGCCCGAATTATACTAGCACGTTCTAAACTGTTTTCTGTAATTTTATGGGCTAATTCCACTAGAAAGTTCAAACTATTCAAAAAGTGTCATTTGTTTCCTATACTATTCAATATAACAAATCTGACACAAATTATACGCATTTCGTGACACATTTATTACCACTATAAATTGAATCGTCCTTCTTTTCTTGCATTTCAGTTATCTCTTCCTTGTTTTCCTGCATTTCATTAAGCACAAAAATTTGATGGTAAAATATATTTGTAAATACAAATAATCTTTTTCACTGGAGTAGAAGTTACCTCATCCAAGTTATGAAACAATATTCTGGATTTGTTCTTTCTCTCCATTGTCCGTCTTTAATCTTCCTCATGAACAATGTCTTTCTTTTTCTCAATATCATCATCATCATCTATACTACCAAATCCATTACCTCCACCATTAGTAGTGTCATTCTTGTTCCCCTACATTAGCATTATTAATTTAGATCATTGATGTTCTAAAGTACAACATATGGGGTGATTGTTTTTCTATTGGATCATATGGGGTGAATTTATTAAGTATAAGTGATCAATACATGTTGTAGGTAAATTTGTAGATGGTACAATTATATGCAAGTCAGTGAGATAGGAAGCAAAGTTTCCTACTGAATACCAAGATTAGAATTACTAAATCCACTATATTTCCAAACAAGTAATGAAATAAATAAAGGGAGTTCTCCATCTTTTAACTAGAGGTTTAATTATTTGAATATAATCCATCCATACCAATTTTGTTCATTAAGGCGTAGTGTTGGTAATTTGCATGCAGAGAGGTCCTTGGCGGATTTAGGCGCTAGTATCAATGTTATACCGGCTAATTATTATAAATTGTCACAAAACTATTCACTTTGTATAAAACGGTCACAAACCTTCAATTTTGCACGTTTCAGTAACAAATGTTTGGACAAATAACAAAAAGGTAATTCCGTCCATCTCCATCCAAAAGTCCGTTAGTTTACTCCAGTAAGCACGCCATGTCATCAACAAATAATAATAAAAAATTAATAAACCAAACCAATTATACCCAACCAAACCAAACCAAACTAAACTCAACCCCACCAAAAAAATTATAAAAATACAAACCAAATCAACTGGTTTCATCCACTGGGGTCTTTCAATCCACATAAATTTCAATCACAAAGCAATAAGGAAATCAAAAATGAATTGGAAGGCATCGAGATTCCAATTTCCCATACCATCCAAGAAAAGGGCGGATACCAAAGCCACTGATGGAGATAAAATTAGGCCAATTCACCAAATGTAATTCTCCCAAAACCACACCGCTGTCCCCGCGATTTCCCCTGATTCCTCTTCACTACGACGCCGCAAGGTATTGCAGTAGTCGCGACGGCGGCGCGTAGGCGGAGTTGATCTTGTTCTTAAACGAATCGAGTCGCGAATTCAACCTGTCCAGAGCCTTCGTCCTCCTTCTCGGCTTTTCCTCAGCAGCTCGAGGGCAGCACCGTTACCTCGCAGGTGGAGCGGGGTGGAGGGTTGCAACAGCTTCCAGGCGGCGAGGCGAGGAAGAGATGGTCTTGAAGAAGAAGCGGAGCTGCGATCCATTTGGAGAGCACGAGTGGAATTTTATTGGGTATAATTTTTGGATTTGGTTGAGTTTGGTTTGATTGGGTATAATTGGTTTGGTTTATTAATTTTTTATTATTATTTGTTGATGACATGGCGTGCTGACTGGAGTATACTAACGGATTTTTGGATGAAGATGGACGAAATTACCTTTTTGTTATTTGTCCAAACATTTGTTACTGAAACGCGCAAAATTAAAGTTTTGTGACCGTTTTGTACAAAGTGATTAGTTTTGTTACCATTTACAATAATTACCCATGTTATACCATAGCCTAGGTGAACCCAGTGCAACTAGGATGAGTATTCAATTAGCTGACCGATCTTTAGTTTATCCTAGGGGCATAGTGGAAGACCTCCTGGTTAAGGTTGACCGATTCTTTTATCTTGTGGATTTTATTGTCTTGGACATTATGAAGACGCAGAAGGGCCCCTTATTCCAGGTAGGCCTTTCCTAGCCACCGCCAAGGCTCTCATAAATGTGCATGATGGGACCCTGACTTTGAGAGATGGCGAGGAGCAGATAACATTTTCCATTGCTAATAATATGAATGTTATCTCGTCTGTGCATGCTTTATCTCACCATGGGTCTCTAGATGTACCTTACTTCGACTTAGGTATCGTTATCTAGCCAACCAATAATAGTGATTACTAAACTAACTACACTACACTAACCACGATCCTAGTTAATTACAAGTTTGGGAGCTCTCTTAGTTTGAATACCCCTAGTTCCGTCATTTGGATCAATGTTGAGCACTGTCTTAGATTGCTTGACTCGATATCTCTTTTGCTGGTAATACTAAACCAGGTTAGACCCCCTATTCGAGTGCATTCAACCCCACCACCCAATTGTGATACTCAGAGGGGTGTGTCAAACAACCGAAGAAGGCAATTGAGGTGCTAACCAGTAATTCCCACGATGCGCAAACCCTACTCGGCATAACCCAATACGACACTATGGACCTTATTGCTTTCACATCAAAGACTCATAGTGAAAGATTGAAGGTGCTCTATTCAACCTAGGGGGATATAATCCAAATCATATATCCTTACATGATCAATCGAATTCACTTTCTCGGAGATTAACCTAGAAAGACATAGATTGATGAGAAACCCTATTTCCAAGAATGGGCCAAAATTGGATTTCTCCCTCCTAGGTCAGAAGTTCAAATTATGTGAAATGAAATCAACACTAATGCAATTCATCATAAACATCAATCAAATAGATAATATGAGTTTATAATCATGTCCCATACATCAACAATCTAACCAAGATCTAGACATAAAGTTCATCAACCAAAGAGAAGAGGTCTAATTCATAGAGAATAGGAGAGAAAATATAGTATAAGCTTAGAATCTTCATCTTATAGGGGATGTTCTTAAAGCTTTAATAGTGATTTGATCCTCCAAAATAGCTCTTAGAACCCTCATAGGTCACTCTCTCTGTAGAATCGGTCCTTGGGTGTTTTGGGGTAAAAAACCCAACTCCCTTTGCTTAAATCCCGATGCTCCCAATTTATACTTGTAGCAATACTAGGATCACATTTTTGGTGTTAACTTCACGGCCGTGAAGTGTGCAACAGTGATCTCAGCACAAAACACATCATTTTATTCACACTTCACGATTTTGGTGTTATTTTCACTCTCCTGTGCACAGCCTGTGAGATGCGCAAAGGTTGCTGGAAATTTGTTATCTTCACGATTTGGGAGAGATTTTCACTCCCTCAATGGTGTGATCCTAGTACCCAGCCCATGAACCTTGCAGATACGCAACTTTTTGGCTCCTTTTGACCTCCCACTACAAAAAAGACTGCTAGATGTTACCAGACGATTGGCGTCACAAAAGACCTTTTCTCGTCACTAAAAGTTTGTTCTGACTAAATACGGTCGTTAGCGGGTCGTGGGGCAATGGTCCATGGGTATAGTCCAAAAAAGTTGGCGTTATAAGAACATTTTTGTGAGGATAAATTATCCTCAAAACCCAATTGATTGTTGTCAGAAAAGAAATACCCTTAAGGAAAAAACTTGACGAAAAAGTTTTTGTGAGAGAGATAAATATTTTTCTAAGGAAATTGTTTTGTCAGTTTAAGTATTTGTGAGAATATTTTTAGTACGCAAAAATTTTTTTTTTTGCTAATAACACTTTGTAATTTCCATCTCCAAAATACCCTTATGTATTTTTGTGATGACTTATTTATTGTCAGAAAAGGTTGTATCATTAGGTGAAATTTTTGTTCCAAAAATACCATTTTATTATTTCTGACGAGTAAAAGTCCTCATCAATGACGAACTCCTCAGTCCTCATAAATGAAATTATTACCGACGCAATGGTTTCGATAGAACACTAGATAAATACATTTAATACCTGAAAACCTAAAAATATAATTATTGTCTATGCATATTCCAACAACAAATAACATGATCATATATTAAAAACACCAAAAACAATATTATTCAATGATATTTTCTTTAATATCAATGACAATTATTGTTCACAATTTACTATATACATTTATTAGAAAATATGAACACATTAGTAATAAAAATTATTAATAAAAAATAAAAAACAAATCTATGTCGCTTCCTCTCCCACCCACTGTCGCTGCCCCATTGTGCTTTTTTCCTCCTCTAACTACCAACCAGGCCCTCTCCTCGGTCAAATCATCGTCATCATCGAGATGCATCTTGTGACGCATGTTTCAAAGGGCAAAAGAAAAATTAAGTAAGAATTAATAGGAAAAGCGAGTCAAAAAACAATCAGAACTTAGGTCATACAATTCATCGGGCAAGGGTCGACGATCCCGACTTGGAGCGCAGAAACGCGGATTTGAAGGTACTCGCACAAAATTTGTGAATTAATTTATGTTGGTGCGTGAATTTCGTAAACTAATTCGCGAATTATTTTACAGAGACAGAGTAGGAGAGAAATCAGAGATGTTTTCCGTCGATCTGATGCAGGAGATTGAATCCCAGAATGGATTGATGGAGGAAGCCGGAAAGAAAGTGAATTTAGTCCGCATGCAACAATATCTCTGTCCGATTCACTGAGTTTCAGGGGAATCGTTGGAGCTTGTGTGCAATGAGGAAGAAGATGGTGAGGTGGACGATAGGATATGGATTGATGGAAGAAGGGTGCAAAATCCAGATCTGCTTCCTTCTAATTTTTGGTTGGAGTGTGCGGTGATTCTTTGCTGCTAGCGAGACCCGAGAAACATCGGGCGGCTGCGACTTTCCTCGGAGCTTGTACTGATTCCTTTGCACATGTTTGTCTCCTTCCTCCATGGAAGAATCTTTCATTTCTGTTGCAATCGCCATCAACTAGAGATTAATTTGATTGCATGACCATTGAATGGGTAAATTGAGGGATGGTTGGGAAGGAGGAACGGCGGCAGGTATTGAGTTGGAGAAGGAGGCGGAAGGAGGGGGTAGGTATAAGGATTTTAGGGTGATCTTTATTATTAAACGAGAACGAGTGGCTGAAGAATTGGGGAAGACTAATGAAGATGATAAAGACATGGATGAGATCATTATGGAGTATTGGGTTGGGGGTGGCGTGTCTCCCCTGCATCTTTCCCAAAGAACTTAAATAAATGAGAAGTTTAAATTATCAAGGACTTTATGATCCCAATTTTATAGTCTCAATTTTTGCTATTTATTTTGGCTTGATTATTACTTAAAATTCTAGAACCTTCCTTACTCTATGAATTTTGCTAGTAGTTTAACTAATTTTATTGGTAAGTTAAATAATATTAAAATCATAATAATATAATATTAGCGACGCTCTCAAAATATAATCCTTGAACAATAAATGCTTTCACGGTCTCGCTCTCGCTCCACAAATCGGTAAGCTAAATGAAAACCTAACCTAGAATACCAATCAGAAAACCCATCCTTCAACGTTGGCGGGTGTTGCTTCCCCACCGCCACTGTTTACTACTCTTCTCCCCTCCATTGAAACACTAGAAAAAAAAAAATACCAGGAAGGGTCAGAATCCGATCAAAGGCCTTGAGTATGCAATGCATCTTGGCTTGGGTAACCGATGACAGAGAAGAAGTGTGATTGTGAAAAACAGACTCATCTCTATAAATTAATATTTTTAGTCTACCCTATTAATTAACTAGTTTTGTGTCCGCCCGATGGGCGGCGAGTGTCATTTGTTTGTACTTTTCCTTCTATTATTTGTTATTTTTTCCAATGGTATCAGATTCCTACTTTTCATATTTATTTATTATTGTTACCTATTATCACTGACTTATCTGATATGAGGGCCGCTACATTTACTCTAGGTTTTAATGATGATCAACAATAAAGTCAAACAACGTTGTAACTTCATCACCGCTTGGAAAATATTGTTTATGACCATCGGATCTTTGATTTTCCAACAATTGTCAACTTCATAAGTTGTACATGGTTTAAGCTCGTGCACACACCTTACCGTACTACTATAGAGTTGGTATTTAGATCATCAATTAACGGAGTTTGGCACATGATGCTATACCATATTGTCAAATAGGTGAAACATTGTCTCTAATTCTCAATCTAATCCAAATCGTACGATTCATTTAATGACACATAATAACCACCGATTCTTATTTGTCAAAATATATTAACATACAACTAATAGGTATGAGTGAAGATGCATATTACACCTCGATTGTACGCTAGCCTTTTACATCATTATATCAAAGTCCAACCAAACTATTATGTTATGCTTCTTACCTTCAACATTGTACGAATGATATCAAAGCAAATGTTAGTTATGGAGACACTTTGTCTTCACTTCACATTATCATCCAATATTAAATATGTGACTGACTATAACTGGAATTGTGTGATAACTTAATACAAACATAAATGCGCTTTGTTGTGTAGTCAGTATAATAACTGAATTTACAGGACATCGTCATGATATGATCCTGCGTTGGTTTTACAGGACACCGGTCTGGATACGTCCCACCCTTGTATACATGACATAGGTTAGGGTATGACCCGCGGTGAATTTATAGGACACCAGTCTAGGTAGGATCTTTGGTGGTATGCATGACGTCTACTATACTACCCAAGGAGTGTATGACTTGGCAAATTAAGATGTAAAATGCAATGAACCTAACCATGCATGTGATTGAATCCTTGTATAAATATTACTTATGATGTGGTTAAGTGATAACTTTCTATGATGTGATATATGAAATGTGCATGTCGATTATGATGGTTTTCTATGGTGTTATATACAATGATTTAAGATTGGATTATATGATGTTTGCTATGTTGGGATAGGGGTTACATGGTAATGCCAGTATGATGTGATATTTGATGCATACATGTTTGAACATTGAGTTATCAAGAGACTGGGTGATGGTTTATGTTGTGATGTATGAATTCTTTGAGTTTAAGATGACGAATGTGATATGGCATGTGGTGATGAATGGATGTTTATTTGATTGAATAAGATATATCATATCGGATGTATCTTGACAATTAAGTTAAGCCAGTAAGGCCTGAGAGGTGGGTGACGGGAAACTAAATACTCCATGTTCTACCATGGTCAATGGGAGGGACAATAAGTCATTTTGAACTATACTCTTAAAGGTAACGGAGAAGATATAGATCATTATCTTATGAGTAAGGTTGTCCAGCGAGTATAACTGGTTACTAAAACTAGTAATAGTAATATATGTATTAGGGTGTCACATTAAGTAAGGATTAAAATAGTTATTTACATATCAACCATCATATATCCAATAGTTTAAGATTCGTTTACAAATCTTGCTTAACTTAGGTGTTATTCATCTGAATACGACTCAAAGTTACAAATCTACACTCATGAAGGAAAAAGTATGAAATTTATATCAAACAATAAAAAGAGAAAAGAAAGGAATTATAATTATATTAGGAAAAAAGTAATGACAATGTGTTTTATAATTGTGTTTTAAAAGAGAAAAGAATATTTAATGACGTACGGAAAACGAAAAGAGAAATAAGTAGGAATAACATAAAAGAAAAGATGAAAATATCATTTTAATATGCGAGAAATGCCAAATTCAATCCTAAAAATGACAAATGCATTATGTATATGTACATGACTTTTTTATAACTTCTTTCTCAAATTGGTCACAAACATATTTAAACCATATAACCATAATTCGGTTTTGAAAAATATACAAAAATTTTGGTGACCGTTGATGTCTAGTGATATTCTTAAACATATGAAATTTTGTGTATATCACTGTAGCATATGACTGAACTATGTTGGTATATTTCATATATTTATAGTCAGTAATTTCTAACAAATTGCAACATATCTACATTGGTTCACATATTTATAGTAGTTCGTACTAACAAAATGTTAAAATTCTTCGTGTTCTAGAATGAGGAAGAAGATTATTCTTTACTTTTCATTTTTCAATTTTAAAAGAAAATCACATGTCAAATTATGCAAAAGTTTATAATTGTGTGCAACCTAAATTTATGCTTTTCGGATTATTTTAATTATTTTAAGGAATTATAAACAATTATGAAACATATTATAAACTAAAAATAATTTATTTGTAGATGTTAATGATTTTTTTGTTGTCCTACGTGGCAAAAACTTGCTCCACAACGGCCATAATATAAGTTATAAGATAAGATAAGATAAAATAAGGTAAACTGATCTTTGGGCTCCCTCCAACAATTTAAAGTTGTCGTTTTTGTTCTCATCGTTTGCTGATCTTTGTTTTCTAATTGTCATCAAATTGCTAGTTAAAGAAAAATAAATGAAATTGATATTACAAATTAGTATAAATTTATTCTAAAAAATGTTATTCCAAGTCATTATATTTATCACCAAAACAAGAAATCAAAGTAATTTTCCTTCTTTTTCCCAATAAGTCGACAGCCTTACACCATTGTATCTCAATTAACCTCTAGAGGTTTATTCAAGTAAATGAAAAACCTAATAATGATTAAATAAGTTACGTCTCGCCATCCAACAGTATTCCGACCATCTTCCGTGTCCAGTAGTGGGCCAACCGCCCGGAGGTTCATCTTACCATTAACCAACTATTAAAATCATACATCCATACATTCATACATAGCACAACACATGCATTCACCCTTATAGGCGGTGGGATGCTTCACACACATATCATGTATTACTAAAATATTAATTAATTAATAACTTGAATGAAAAACATAAACTAAAAGACCTACTACAGAGATTTTACTCTTTTTACACTCACCGTGCTAGACAGCTCGGCTATGCTTGTGATCCTATGTCATTTCATCTCGTTCCTCCCCATCTTAACTCCATGTGCACATACTTCACAAAGAATTGGTCCTCGTAGATATCTTGAAATGCATTCCATTAGTTAATTATTAAGAGAATAATCCATCCCATTGACCGTAGTCCACACTATCATATTTTCCCCATTATTAATCTCCAGTAAGCCAAATTATTTAGCACCCATTTCAACTACTGGTGCTTCCCGTTAGAAGGAAAGACATGAGGTCTAAATAAGATTTCATCCATGCATGTAAATGAGAAGCGCAGGCTCCTTACCACAACCGTTCAGTCTCGCAGGTCCGCCACAATCTCCCTCTCACCGACCCCAGAGGAAGCTCGATCTCCAATTTGGGCAGCATCAGGCCCTCGCGAGAACCGGGACGAGATGTTGTGTCAATTTGGGGTTTGCGATTGGGTCTTGTGCGAGAGGAGAAAGATAATTGCGATGGGATTTGTTTCACTAGGGTTTTGTCTGCTGTGGAATGGGGAATTGGGGAAAGTGATGGAGAAGGAGGCTGCCCGGCCCCTTTTTGGCCGACTAATATACATTCTTTTGGAATTAATAATAATGCTTATTATTATTATTACTAATTAACAGTTGCTACCCTTCGTACGTAGCCGTTAATCTAATCGTTCACGTATCATGGTCGAATCAGAACCCAAAAGTCAGGGTGTTACATTTGCTCCACTCTTATAAAAAATTTGTCTCCAAAATTTGTTTGGAACTCATCCTTCTATCAACACCCTTCGTATGCTTCCTTCCCACGATTATTTATTCTTGCCATAACTACCGCGTTACGAGCCTTTGCTCATCTCGTGTAGTTCACTGTACCTCATATATTTATTTCCTTTTGACAATCATAGGTATCCCTACCAAGCTTGTAGAACTCGTGTAACCTTGAGTGACTCACTGCGCTTTTTGTTTCACAACTTGACTCAAAAGTGATGAAATAAAATGCCAATTTGGTTTGCCATGTTGATCCAATTCACCTGGTAGTTGTTGTTGAACATAAATCCAAAATCGAGATATCACATTCCTCCCCTCCTTAAGAAAAATTTCGACCTGGAAATTTGTTCATCGTGATAGCTTAAAGTCCTACTTGAGGTAATCCTTCTACTATAGAGATTTATACTTCCGTTACTTTGTACGACCGTGAGCTATGAATCTTTCCTCCAATTCGCTGTGGTACTTGGTTGACTTATAACTCACCCCCCTCTCATAAACCACTTACTCAGCGAGCTACTTGCTCAACGCGACTATGGCACTCCCCCTTCATAAACGCCATTGATACTATAATGGCTTCTTACTTCATATTGTTCTCGGCGGGTTGCC